AAGCACTGTGCCAGAGTCTAAATTCAGAATATATCATTTCATTGCTGCTCTCACCCTTTGGGTAGATATGAAGATCTATATTCCTTTTTTTTTTTTTTTTTTTTGAGATGGAGTCTGGCTCTGTCTCCCAGGCTGAAGTGCAGTGATGCGATCTCGGCTCACTGCAAGCTCCGCCTCCTGGGTTCATGCCATTCTCCTGCCTCAGCCTCCCGAGTAGCTGGGACTACAAGTGCCCACCACCACGCCTGGCTACTTTTTTTTTTTTTTTTTGTATTTTTAATAGAGACGGGGTTTCACCGTGCTAGCCAGGATAGTGTCAATCTCCTGACCTTGTGATCTGCCCACCTCAGCCTCCCAAAGTGCTGGGATTACAGGTGTGAGCCACCGAGCCCGGCCTGAAGATCCATATCCTTGTAGTTGTGGAGACTGAGGCTCAAGGAGATCACATAGCTCTTCTGAGGTCACATGTCAAAATCGAAACTTGAGCCCTGCTCAGGGGATCTCCAAAGTGTTGATTTTCCCTTGACACTATATGGGGACCAGGGACAAGTGTTGGCCTGCGTCAAGTAAAGGTGCAGCTTCTGCACATGGAGCCAGGACAAGAGCTGCTCTTCTAGAGAAGGATGCATGGCAAGTTCCAGATTCTCATTATTTGGAGCTCATGGAAGATTCTAGGCTTTTCTTATTAATGTTTAGTACTGACACCATTACCCTCACCTTGAGAGCACAGCAAGGACCTTCACAGCAAGCATCCCAGCTTGATCACAGCTGTCACCAGGGTTGGCATGTATCAGAAAGTGCCTCCAACAGACACCTATAACAGAGTTGGCATCTGCCCAAATCCAGTGCCTAGGTGAGGGACTGTGCCCAGGCAGAGGCAAGGAACTACACGGGAAAGGCCAAGTAACCAGAAGATGCACCAGATGCGCTTGGAGAGTTGCAAGGAAGCAAGAGAAGGGCCCCAGGGAGGGCCAGGGCAGGCCCACAGAAACTGGTTCATGGCTGGAGCTCCATCTATTTGGTAACTGGAGGACAGCGCAGAGACCTTAGCAGATAACTCAGTCATCTGCAGATGAGAGCCTCAGGACTAGGGAGTGATCTACTCTAAGCCTGGCCTGATGCTGAAGTGCTAAGCATATATGCCAAGTCCTGGATAAGGCAGATCCCTGGGGAATATCCCTGGTATCTTAGGTTACCAGATTGAGAGACCTGCAGAGTTGTGGAGAAGTGAGGACACTGACTCTGTCAAGGCCTCGGAGAAAGCTTGAATATGACCACATTTTACAGAAACCAACAAGATGACCAATGCCCTCCACATTCGGTCAGTCAGCACATTACTCAGTCGCCAAAGCCTTTTTTGGGCACATGTGATTCTTTCATTCTACCAAGAGTTGGTGCCACCTGACTATGCAGTGTGTTATGTTCTTCTCTGGGTATACAAAGACAAAAGCCAGGTTCTGTGCTAGGTATCAGAGGAGATGAGTCAGCCAGGCAGACCGAGATTCTCCTTCATGGAGTTTATAATCTAGTAGAGAAGATAGGATGCAAATTAGAACAGTTATAATATCAAGCTATAATATCAAACTAAGAATCCCAGCGGAGGAGCAAAAAAAAAACAAGCTTTGTATAACAGGAAAGAAAGAAGAGAACTTCTGGTACAGGGAGGAGAAAGCAGGGTGCCTGAGTTGATTTGGTGAGACGTCCAAGAACATGGGAGTTTTGCCGTAAAAATTATGAGGGACTAGAAGGCATGGGCTGTAGGACTGAGCTTCAGGTCTGGGGTAACCCTCTTCTACATGGCATGTGCCCCTTCTGTCCTCTCCAGCTGATCCATTCCAATCCAGAAGTCAATGCTCCTTAGCATCCTTCATGTCTATGCTAGACCTCAAAATGCCATCCCCCACTCTCCCTGCTTTTCCAGTGAAATACACTCTTCTCCTGACAATTGCTGGCCACAGTCCCCTCCACCATGAAGTGGTCCAAGATCAGATCTCTCTATCTTGACATCATTGTTGAATCCCCATCCCGCTGAGCATGCAAGACTGGGTGACTAGAGTTAGCAGGTCTCTCTTTACCAAAGTGTACTTTGTGATATGAAACAGCAATACTCCTGAAACAGGGGATGGAAAACCAATCTGTCCTTCTAATCATATTTGAAAAATACTAGAGAATATTGCAATGATCATGTAGGAAATTGTTATTAAACAGAGTGATCATTTGGGACACCAATAATCCCACCTTATGTGTCTATTTTCTAAGTATGAATTCTAGAGAGGATTTTTCTTCCACTTTGTGAATCTATGAGTTCTTGGATATGTACTTTCATAGGAACTTTTCCTGAAATTGCCTCTGTCTTTAAATTGTAAGAGGACCTTGAGAACAGAGATGTCATTTTTTAACTCATTCTCCCATCTTTGCTACTCTATGAGGCCTGAATGCTGACCTGGCAACCTAGGGGACATACAAGGGGCTTAGTCTTTGTGGACACTGTTGTCTGACTGAATCTAGGGATGCTTAATGCAAGTCAGCCCTTCTGTGAGGACAAGCTTGCTCAGATCCATTCTGCAAGGCCTCCATGGTCTACCTATTCCAGGTAGTAGAATTCTAAAGCCCTAGGAAATTGCATCCTTTGGCTTAAGTTCTTTCTCCTCAATAGCATGAAGCAACATAATGTAATAGAAAATGACCCTCAAATCAGGCAAGCTGAGCTCTAAGAGCACCTTTGGTAATGACTAGCTGTGTGGGCAAAGTACTATACTCAACCTTTTCAAAGCTCTGTTTATCTTCATAATGAGATTAGCCCATTCCAGAAAGATGTGAATATGAAACAAGTCTGGACTGTTGTAGGCCCTCAGTAAATGACAGCTATATACGACATTCCCTCTTTGAATTTCCAAATTTTAATGAAAATCATTTTTAAGAATGGAATCTATGCTTTTTAAAAACTATTTTGAGTGTACACAATTATATTTCTAACGGGCTGACTGAAGCTCAGACACATCTCCATAAAATACATTTATACACATATTATATATCCAGACCCTATACACTACGTCCCTATATACCTGAGTGTGCAGGGGATGGAAAACCAATCTGTCCTTCTGATCATATTTGAAAAATACTAGAGAACATTGCGATGATCATGTAGGAAATTGTTATTAAACAGAGTGATCATTTGGGACACCAATAATCCCACCTTATGTGTCTATTTTCTAAGTATGAATTCTAGAAAGGATTTTTCCTCTACCTTGTGAATCTCTCTCTCTTTCTTTCTCTCTCTCACACACACACATACACACACACCTCATCCCAAATTAATTGCAGGTGTAATAAGTATTTGGTTCCAGCATTAACTCCCATTCACTCCTTACTAAGGAATTATCATTGCTAAACTGAATTAACATCGCTGTGTCTTGTATCGTAAACATACCTGCCAAAAAGAGCTTCCCTAGAGTTCCTTAGTCACCAGTCCCTGAACTTAACCCTGGCTGGGCTGGACCTGCGGCAGCACCAGTTCACCTGGTTGCCATGAGAAAGAAACAGAACACGGTCCTTTGACAGAACTAACAAGGTCCTTGAGGGTTTGCTTCAGCCCTCAAATAAGAGGAAGAATGCCACACACAGCTCTGTGCCTCCATGGATGTAAGAAACACCTGCCACACCTTGGGGATAACTTCTACACCTGGCTCTTCTGACATAATTGGCTGTTAACTAGATCATATCACTAATGGAGTTTCATTGTCCTTATTCGTGCACCTGTCTTTCTCCTGTGCAGGACTGTGAGTTTTTGTGCACGTGGAGTTTGCTTTTTTCATCTCTGTGTCCCCAGTGCCTGCCTTCTGTAGCTTTTGGCACACACTTTGTTAGTTGAATGGATGGATGGGTGAGTGACACATTTACTATCTGGGTCCCTATATCAGCTTTGATCTAGAGTCACAAGAAAATTTTTAAAAATAATTATTTTTTTTTGTTTTTTGTTTTTGTTTGTTGGTTTGTTTTGAGGTGGGGTCTCACCCTATTGCCCAGGCTGGAGTTCAGTGGCACAATCTCGGCTCACTGCAACCTCTGCCTCCCAGGTTCAAGCAATCCTCCTGCCTCAGCCCCCCTAGTAGCTGGGACTACAGGCATGCACCACCATGCTCAGCTAATTTTTGTATTTTTAGTAGAGACAGGATTTCGCCATGTTGGCCAGGCTGGTCTTGAACTCCTGACCTCAGGTGATCCACCCACCTCGGCCTCCCAAAGTGCTGAGATTACAGGCATGAGCCACTGCATCCAGCCCTATTTACTCTATTCTTAATGATCATCAAGTATTATCTCCTCCACAACCAGCTGCTGAGTCTTTTGACAATGAACAGCAGGTGATTATGTTGACCTGTACCACATCCTTGCATGTATCAGGTTCAGCCTCAAGGCGATGCCTCATCCTGTCACCCCCTCTACACCATTACCACCCCGAGTCACTCTCCATTCTGTGTCTCTCTCCTGGTCTTATTTTGGACTGTTGGAGATCAAAATGAACTGGGACATGGGCGTCCCCAGAAGGCACTGGAAGGTTTGCCAATGAATACCTTATCTAATCAATATGCAATTACCCAAGGGGCTTAACTACTTTAAAACCCTCCTCTGACACCCTGAAACAGTGTGCCTCACCTGCCAGTCCTTGAGAACAATGCTTACCTGTCTGTCTTCTCCTCTTTCCTCCCTGACAGTCATTACTGCTCACTTTCTTTCTTTCTCCCTCTCTTCTTCCCCCTCAGTCCCATTAGAAAGCTCACATCAGTCTCTGGAACGAGTTAATATGCTGGCTGGAAAATCTACTGGCTCAGGTGGATTTCCTCTTCGAGAAATCATCAACCCCGATTAAATCATCAAACAGCTCAATCCTTCCAAACAAAAGTGACTGCTTAATGTTCTACACCTTTGATTAGCCTTTTCCTCAACACCCTCTGGTTTACCACAGTCATCAAAAAAAAATTAAGGAAGGAGCCTCCAGCCTCTGAAGTGTATTCCTGGGGGAATCATCCTTTATTGATATTACTATTAGCCACCTGCCAGGCCTTGAGGGATTTTCAGAAAACATCTTCCTCTGTGTCTACAGAAGGGCACTGGGGGGTCACTGGCAGCCCCTGCTGTCCCAGCAGGCTCCACAGCTATTGGTCCTGGCCAGACAGGACACTTGCACTTGAAACAGAATCCTGTGCTCAGAGAATATTCCTGTGCTCCCCCAGTATCTTTCAGTTGCCAAGCCGTTAGGTGGTCTTGGTGCTGAAAATGGAGCTGGTATTTTCAGTTCTATTCTCTTCTTTGTTTCTGTTGACTTTCAGGAAGAAAAAGCAGGATTGTTGACTTTACACCATCATCTTCACTGTGGCCTGAATGTTTGTGCTCCCCCCGCTTCCCTCCACCCCAGGAAAGTCATGTTGATATCTAATCTCCAATACAATGGTATTAAGAGGTGGGGGGCTTCTGAGAGGTGATTAGGTCATGGGGGTGCTTAATGCCCTTATTAAAAGGCCCCATGATGTATATGTACCACATTTAAGCCCTTATCCTCAGCAAATTAACACAGGAACAGAAATCAAACACCACATGCTCTCACTTATAAGTGGGAACTGAACAATGAGAACACATGGACACAGGGAAGGGAACATCACACACTGGGGCCTGTTGGGGTGTCGGGGGAGGGAGAGCATCAGGGTAAATAGTTAATGCATGCAGGGCTTATTACCTAGGTGATGGGTTGATAGGTGCAGCAAGCCACCATGGCACACATTTAGCTATGTAACAAACCCACACGTCCTGCACCGTACCTGGGAACTTAAAAAAAAAAAAAAAAGCCTCCAGGGAGCTTGTTCTTCCACTTCTGCCATGTAAAAAACACAGTAAGAAGTTGCCATTTATGAACCAAAATGTGGGCCCTCACCAGACACCAAATCTTGCAGCACCTTAATCCTGGGTTTTCCAGCCTCCGGAACTGAGAGAAGTAAATATATGCTGTTTATAAATTACCTAATTTAAGGCATTTTTTAATAGCCGCCTGAATGGACAAAGACAGTCACCAAAACAGATGTCTTCCTCTGAGTTTCAAAGTAACAGCAGGAAGGGTTGAACCTTCATGTCTCTTTCTCCAAAGATGGAGTGAGGCTCTGTCTCTGTGCTGTTATTCTGTCCTCCCATCCATCTGAACATCTTTAGCAAACGGTTCCTCTCTCCTGCTGCTCTTCAGCTGTCCTGCTGTCCAGACTCTGGCAGCCTGGAGGTGGGTCCGGCCAACCGTGGGCCTGATTTCTGGGTAGAATTCACCCTAGCCTCAGTTCCCTCTTTGGGTGAGCTGGACTGTGTGACCTGAAAGAACAGAGTCTCAAGAGCTTTTTCATTCTCTGCATTCAAAAACAGGTAATGCCCAGGGTGGTTAAAAATGTGGGCTGGGATCCCATTACTGGGTATATACCCAAAGGATTATAAACCATGCTGCTATAAAGACACATGCACACATATGGTTATTGCAGCAGTATTCACAATAGCAAAGACTTGGAATCAACCCAAATGTCCATCAGTGTCAGACTGGATTAAGAAAATGTGGCACATATACACCATGGAATACTGTGCAGTCATAAAAAAGGATGAGTTTGTGTCATTTGTAGTGACATGGATGCAGCTGGAAACCATCATTCTCAGCAAACTATCACAAGAACAGAAAACCAAACACTGCATGTTCTCACTCATAGGTGGGAATTGAACAATGAGATCACTTGGACACAGGAAGGGGAACATCACACACCGGGGCCTATTCTGGGGAGGGGGTAGGAGGGAGGGATAGCACTAGGAGATATACCTAATATAAATGACGAGTTAATGGGTGCAGCACACCAACATGGCACACGTACACATATGTAACAAACCTGCACGTTGTGCATATGTACCCTAGAACTTAAAGTGTAATAATAAAGATAAATAAATTTCTGTTGTTTATAAAAATAAAAAAAAACGTGGGCTGGGGAGTCAGATTACCTGTGTTTGAGTCCTAATTCTGCCCCTGCTGCCTGTGAGCTTTGCACAGGCCACCAGTTTTTCTCAATCCAGCTATCACATAAGCTGTACAGGCTGAACTGAATTCATGTGGACCAGTGCAGTGTCAGTCGCCAAGGTCAGTGGCTGAGCCTGAAGCTGACACACATTGCTTCTTCCCAGGTACCCATACTTCACCAGGGGCAGAGAAATTTTCCAGTCTCCAAAATGAATCTCCCCAACACCTCAAAATCCATGGCTCCTCCATGCCTGATAATTTTATAATTTGTTTCTTCTACCCTGGGAAGAGAGGGGAGGGCGGAGGAAAAATGGTGCCTGGGTGGGTCATTGTCACTCCACTTTCCAGTCTTGCCATTTAATGGGGGGTCCTTTTCTTTGTAAGTCCTTGGTGACCTCACAAAGGGATGATGAGGGGGACTGTAATGCTACCATGTCTCAGCCTTGTAGGGAGTGTTATAGGGATGGTTTTGGCGAGAGGCATTTCCAGGACATTGTATCCCAAAGCTTTCAGCATAAAACAGAATATAAAGATAATCCTGAAAATCCTAAAACTTTTGGAGGCATTATCAGACAGGAAGGAGTTTCTTAGACTCTAGAAAGACAGCACATGTTAGGAAAGGCACCAGACAACGAGACGGAGACATGAGTTTCAGGATAAGCCTCGTCCATGAGAATTGCAGTCTTGGCCAAGGCAGCAAAACTCCTGGAGCCTTGGCTTTCCGAACTCTAAACCATGGATAACAGTTTCTTTTTCCCAAGTCTGGTGAGAAATTTTCATGGGGATTTTGTGATTAAGACATTTGAAAATAATGATGTGCTATCAATATTATCATAAATTATGAATCATTATGGTAGGTAAAAGGGGAGTCTGAAAGTTAGATTTGTTCGGTGCTTCTCAGAATTGTCTGAGGAAAGAGGATTCTTTCTAGGTAAGTGATTTTAAAACTTTCTATTTCACTCTCAATGCAAAAATGTATTTTACATTGTGAGCCAGGGCCCATATATCTATGTCTGTGGATATACATACAAAAAAAGGTTTCATGAAATAATGCTTACCTTGAAAAAAAAATGGACTCTGATGCTTTCTATGCTTTTTTATTCCTTTTAAAATAAAATGCTAGTTATAAGCCTTTAAATTGAAGTTTTGTTTTGTTTTGTTTTGTTTGAGACAGAGTCTTACTCTGTCACCCAGGTTTGAGTGCAGTGGTGCGATCTCAGCTCGCTGCAACCTCCGCCTCCCGGGTTCAAGAGATTCTCCTGCTTCGGTCTCCCTGGGAGTAGCTGGGACTACAGGCACATGCCACCATGCCTGGCTAGTTTTCGTATTTTTAGCAGGGATGGGGTTTCACCATGTTGGCCAAAATTGATTTTAAAACTTCTAAAAGGTCACAACTATAGCTTGAAAACTACCTTTCTAGATTAGGGGTTTGCAGACCCCTGTAAAGGACCAGATAGCCCATCTCTTAGGCTTTGTGTGTCATAGGGTCTCTGTTGTAGAAGGAAGCTGTATTCAATGCATGCAAGAATGGGCATGGCTGTGTTTCAATAAAATTTCATTTACAAAAGCAAGTGGCTAGTCTACAGGCCATAGTTTGCTGACCCTGGTCCAGATAAATCCAAGTTCTTCAGGTAGACATGTTCCAAAGGACTATAAAAGTGTGATGTTTGCACTTTTGTCTCTAAGTTCACTGCAAAGCTTGCTAACAACTTCAGTTTGGCCTCCCATGGCAATTCTCCCACACAGAGGGAAAGAGCTCTTCCACCAGCAGGAATCAGCAAGCCCTGGGTCTCATGACAAGTCCTTCTCCCAGTGCGAAGTAACAAACTGGCATCTGGTTTACAAATCAGTTCCTTTCCAGTTGAATTACTGTGAGTCATTGCCCAAGAGCCTGATCAGGCTTGTATGAAAAGAGAAATCATGTTTCTGAATGTACAAAATGAAGGACCAGACCCCAAAATATCACGTCTCACAAAGTACTGCCTTTCATTCTCCACTCCCTTCCCCTGAGCCCCAGCTGAGAAAAGTCAGCCAGGTTGGCAGAGGACAAACTATGGAAACCAAAACAATCATATGCTAGAATATGCAATTTCATTTTCCGTCAGGTCTTTGACATTGTGTGACCACGGGAGAGGAAAATGATCACTCTGGTAAAGGAACACATGCTTACCTGAAACTTCCTAATATGCAATCTAGGTAGTTTTTTAGTTTGAATATTCCAAAAAACCATCTTGTTTCCATTCAAAATGAGCAGAAACCATTTATGTCCAATGTTTCTCCTGCAGCTTGCCCCAGACAAGAAGAGTACACCCACCCAGGCTTTGTATGCTTGGTGTCTTAGGTTCCTGCAGACTTTGTTCCAACTATTAGAGTTCTTTGCCCTTACTTTGTTTTTTTGTTTGTTTTTTGTTTTGTTTGTTTTGTTTTGTTTTTTTTTGAGACAGAGTCTTGCTCTGTCTCCCAGGCTGGAGTATAATGGCGCTATCTCAGCTCACTACAACTTCCACCTCCTAGGTTCAAGCAATTCTCCTGTCTCAGCCTCCCAAGTAGCTGAGATTATAGGCGCCCACCACCACGCCTGGGTAATTTTTTGTGTTTTTAGTAGAGACGGGGTTTCACCATGTTAGTCGGGTTGGTCTCGAACTCATGACCTCAAGTGATCCACCCTCCTCGGCCTCCCAAAGTGTGGGGTTACAGGCATGAGTCACCACGTCTAGACTTTAGCCTTAGTTTCAAAAATAATAAAACACTGGGAATAAGATGAACTTGGGTTGTTAGATTTATGGAATGAGGGAAGCCCTTCAGGGCATATAATAAATGCTGAGGATAAGGCTCTGCTTCATGTCCTCCTCCTCCCTCCACCCCCTTTGCACTTGACGGGAAACAAAGAAAGCCTCTCCCTGCAACCAGGACTACCATTCAATCACAGCAGCACGAATATCATGCACATGCATTCCCCATGCAAAATCAGAGCTACTGTCCCACTTGAGCACTAACATTAGTAGAATCAAGCCTGCTGACCCCTGACATAGCCTCAACTGTGTGGGGAGAACCAATGCTTAAATGAATCCCCTTTTGCACGTTACTTAATGCATAAAGGACACAGGGCTCATTCTGAGTTCACCAAGCGGTCAGCAAACTCTTCCATAAAGGACTACATAGTAAAGAGTTTAGGTTTTGCAGTCCCAGAGGCAAAATCAAAGATATGATGTAGACACTTAAAGAACAATTTAAAATGTAATCATTTAAAAATGTGAAAAACCATCCTTAGCTCACAGGTCCTACCTACACAGGAGGAGGGCTAGATTTGGCCCACAGGACATAGTTTGCCAACTCCTGGCTTAGAAGGATAGAGGGCAGGACAGGGGCATGGCAGAATTGTTCAACTAGAAAGAAAATGTGACAGATGTGGCTTTGGGGATACATGCTTTCAATGTCATTGTCCCCTTTTGCTGGGTTGTTTTAATGAGAGGGAATTTATGGTACTGAAATAGAGATATTTACTAGGTTAAAAGTTAAGTGCTTAAAGTATGCATGGTTAGAAGAACTTAAAGGAAAACTATATGCTCAACTTTGCTGATAAATATTTTGTATGATATGTATAGAAATAAGATTCTAATTTTTTAGGTTTAGGAGAACAAGTCTTTATGAATAAGTTGAAAACACAGGTATGGTGCTACAGACTAAAATTTCATTAAAATTCTATATTTTTGAAACTCCTACAATGAAGTGCAAACAGAAAATGTTTAGAACCTGGCCAGTAGAGCAGAAGTCACCATGAAGATTGGACTTGGTTGTGGTGTTATGGGATCCTGAACGCAAGCTAATGGCAGCTGAAAATTAAAACCACATGTGGATAAAGTAGAAAGATCATCAGAGATGAGTTGCAGATGGTCTTTTGAGTTCCATTTGAAAGTAATATTATGGAGGGGCTGGGGGAGAAAAAAGAGTGAAGTAGTGACAAACTTGGCAGGAAAATACAAAAAGCTGAGACCATGTGAATTGGAGTATTTGGGGACACTAAGCATGCCAGGCATTTCTGCGTAGAACAGCCAAAAATCACCCAACTTCATGATTCCACGTTGTCTTACCTGTTCGGCTCATCATGTGTAAGTGACCAGAGGCAATGTAACCAGAAGAATCAAATGGGAATTTTTATTAAGGAAAGAAGCCATGGCCTTGACTTGGAAAACAGACTCAAACACAAGAGCTCAAGGGCAAGATGAGGCTCAAAGTTGGAGAATGAGCATGAAGATCAGAAGCCAGAAGAAGCAGCGCTGAGTACAGATGCAGCACACATACATGATCAGCACAAGCAGCACAGGACAAAATCATGAGCAAGATGAAAGCATGAACACCCAGATGAATATGGTGCCAGTCTACAGTACAGGAATGGCACATGCTTCACAACTTCAATGGCGCAAGGAATACTGGACTTGGATGGTTGATATAACAACATAGCCATAAAGTATAAGAAGCATATGGGATTATCTCAAGATGATAATTTTGATTATTCAACATTGTTATGCTCATAAATACATATTTGTGAAACATCTTCCTCACAGATGGCAGACACTTGACACATGTGCTGTCAGTGGCAGGGATTACTAATTGATCACAGTTGTTTTTTCCCCAAGGCTTGGATACAGCCTCAAAATTCTTCTCAATACAGTCATCCAGTATGTTACAGATAGTTCACTGTAATTGGTACATAAAGGCAAACATATATGCTATCCTAATCTATAGATGATAGATATTGATATGGTTTGGCTCTTTGTCCCCATCCAAATCTCATCTTGAATTGCAATCCCCACGTGTCAAGGGAGGGACCTGCTGGGAGGTGATTGGATCATGGAAGCGGTTTTCCCCATGCTGTCTCATGATAGTGAGTGCGTTCTCATGAGATCTGATGGTTTAAAAGTGTTTGGCAGTTCCCTGCCAACCCCCTCCTGCCACCATGTGAAGAAGGTCCTTGCTTCTCCTTCACTTTATACCACAATTGTAAGTTTCCTGAGACCTCCTCAGCCATGCAGAACTGTGAGTCAATTAAACCTTTTTTCTTCATAAATTACCCAGTCTCAGGTAGTTCTTTATAGTGATGTGAAAACAGACTGATACAGATATAATATGCAATCTATAGATATATTTATAGATTATTCTGTGTAATCTATAGATACATTGACAGATTATTCTGTATAAACTATAGATATATAGATTTAGCTGGTAAATTTAAATTTTTAGCACAGTGTCCACTGAACTTTTATATTAATTACCACTTTAACTACTTATTACTTTCAGTTCAATAACCTTACTTGAATTCTTGCTGCCGGATTAATTTTTCAACAATTGTCGACACTACACTGAATTTGTCATCTATTGTCCCATTCTTGTTAGTGACATAGACTCTTCAGTTATGAACTGTCAATCATTGTTATATTTATTTACAATGTAAGAATCACCTTCCAACTGATATGAAGTGCTCAGGGTGAAATTGGATTCATCTCCTAAGTCAGAAATGGTACTTGAATTAATGTTAGTTTTAATTACTTAAAGTCTCATTTAAAATTTTGAATTTTGATGATATTCTTTCTTTAATTATTTTTATGACATTCACAC